CCCAGCTCTCCACCAGGCTGCCCAAGACGTGGAAGCCGCAGCTGCTCAAGCGGCAGTTCTACAGCGAGATCCTGGACGCCACGCTGACCATCACCGTCACCATGCGCACGCTCGACCTCATCGACGCCGCCTTCGGCTTCGACTTCTACATCCTCAAGGTACCGCACCCGCCGGGGCTGCGGCCAGGCGCGGCTGTGCCCACGCTGCCCTCACCATGGGCTGGCGGGCCGGGAGCCCCAGAATTCCGGCACAGAAAATCCCAAGTTGGAACAGACCCACAGGGATCATCCAGTCCAACCTCTGGCCCTGCACAGGCACCCCAACAACCCCCAACCCTGTGCCTGAGCAGTGTCCAAACTCTCCTGGAGCTCTGGCAGCCTCGGGGCTGTGCCCATTCCCTGGGCAGCACCAGCACCTCTGGGGGAAGAACCTTTCCCTGATCTCCAGCCTGAGCCTGCCCTGGCCCAGCTCCAGCCGTTCCCTGCTCCTGTCCCTGTCCCAGAGACCGGAGCTGCCCCTCGGGAGGAGCTGCAGCCCCTGCTGAGCTCTGCCCTCAATGTCCTCTCCTCCAGTCTGAACAACTGCTACTGTTAATGTTTTAGCACAGCTCTAATGCTGCTGTCTATCTGAGTTTGATATTAAAACTCAGACCTGTCTCCAGAACAAATCCAACAGATCTTTCCCCTTTCACAAGTGTTTTGAGAGCCTCTGCTGTGTGTGGATAAGCTGTCAGTGTGCTGGGAGACTCCTGTGTTCCCTGGTTGCTGGTCCCTTGGTGCAGCCTAACTCCCTTTCTGCAGACTCCCAAAGTTGACTTGTGCTCCAAGCTCGGGATGGATTTGAAGCGGACGATGCTGCTGCGCCTGGCCCGGCGGGATCCCAAGCTGCATCCCGATGATCCAGCCAGGAGAGAGGCCATCTATGACAAGTACAAGGTGGGTGCCTGGCCTGCAGTCCCTGTCCTGCTCTGCAGTGCTTGGATGGTCACCTACCTGTCACTGGTGTTGGTGCTCTTGTGCTGAGGGACAAGAAAATATAAATATCATCTCTGCAGGCTCCTAATTTTTGTACTCATCATTTAGGGACACAAAAAGCAGTATTTTTGCTGTGATTGAGGTCAGTGAGAGTCTGCAGTATAAAACAGTAAGAATTTGTGCTGCCCCTGGAGGGAGGAGCCCGGAGTGCCCATGTTCAGTTTTGTGCAGCTGGTGGTGGTTGCCAGCATGGAAACAAAACCAGCCCCCAGAGTCCACAGAGTTGTGCAGAGAAACAGCCCCAGAACTGCATAAAATAATTGCAGGAGCAGACACAGCTGATCAGAGAGTAGGACCCCTGCTAAAAAGAGAGAAGAGAAGGGGACCTTGGTTGTTAAAAATGAGGGAACAGGGCTCTAAGATTTGCCCATAGAAATGTTTCCAGTGGATCACATTTGTGTCATGGGCACAGAGAGGGTTTGCATCTTGGCCACCTGCAAAGATTGCTACCTTCTCCTTTTATTATTATTCCTAATAATATTTATTATTCCTAATAAATTAGGAATTTGTGATCCCAGAAGAGGAAGCTGAATGGGTTGGCTTGAGTTTGGAAGAAGCCATAGAAAAACAGAGGCTCCTGGAAAAACAGGTGAGTTCCTGAGGCAGTGCTCAGCACTGAGGTGTTGTGGCTGCACGTTCACCTTCGTCATGGGGTGTGTTCACCCACGTGCTCCAGTACACACTGGTGGCAGGCAACGTGAGGAGGGAAGGGAAGGAAAGGATCCTTGGGAGCTACGGATGATTCTCATCTGCTCTCAGAACTGGGGGAGCTGCTGAATGCCCCACACAGGTTCCTGCCCTCTCTGAGGGAGGGTTACAGAGCTGAGCAGCAGCTGTGGCACAACAGGTTACCTTGTTCAGCCCCAGAATGAAAACCCAGTCACATCTTCCTCCCTTTTCAGCTGCCAGCAGTCCCTGGGCTCCCCACTGCACTTCCCCTTGCTGCTGCTCAGGTTCACTCTTTTCATGTGGTTTATCTTCTGCTTTGTTGCAGGATCCTGTCCCTCTCTTCAAGGTGTATGCTGAAGAGCTTGTCAGCCAGCTGAAAGAACAGCAACAGGCAGTGCAGAAGCAGTAGAAGGAGAGAAACCTTGGGAGCAAAATCCCTGCTGCAGACAAAGCACTGGGGTTCAGGGGCCCTGCTGCCTGAACCACACTGGTGGGGAAGGGGCCACAGGAAAACACACACTCCTGAAGTGTCATGACAGCCTAAATTCAGTGAGGACCTGTTCCTGTGGGCTGAGGAAAGAGTTTCTATGCTGTGGCTCTGAGAGTTCTTGTCAGACTGACTCACTGTGGATCTCCTGCCTGTGCAAGCAGTTGGCTGCTGTTGAGAGCCCCCCTGTGATAGGAAATATACATTTTGGTATTAACAGCAGTAAACTTCTCTCTGATACTTATCTTGTGAGTGTGTTGTTACCAGGGACTGTGAGACACAACTTAGATCAAACCCCAGCTTCATCCAGCCCCTAAAGTGTGAGCCCAAATCCCTCATCAGGTGGGACTGAGCTCCCCAGCACAGCTCACTACCCCCTGGGTTACAGCCCTGTTTCTTGTATGTTGGTAAAAATGGAGTTGAATTGGGTGTTGAGGTCTTCTTTGCTGCTGTCTGGCAACAAGGGACTGCAAAGCACTTGCCATAATTACAGGCTGCTGAACAGCACTGGGAGTCCCTGGTGTTGTCTGGAAGCTTTGTGGTGGCACAGTGAGTTTCTGGGTGGATCAAAATCAGCCTCTGCCCTTTCCCCTCAGCTCTGAGGTGAGGGACAAGAACAGAGCCTGCAGGCTCAACCTTGTGTGGGTCATCTCTGGCTCATTCTTTGCTCCTGGAAGAGACACTGCCTTACCCCTGTCTTGGGCTTCCCCCTCTCTGGCACATCAGGGCTAGTGCCCTGCCTTGGTTTGTGAGCCACAGGACTGATGAGAGAGAAACTGGGCTTGTAGAACAGGATGTGGCTCAGCCCCTCTGCACTGGAATGGAGAAGGACCAGGGGGGAGTGGAGATTGCCAGTGCCCTGAAGGTTTGGGGAGAAGTGGTGCAGAAGCAGACACTGGGTGAGCACAGAGCCTCGGCAGGGCCGTGCTGGGGGTTGGGTGAGGGAGGTGGTAGAGTTGAGTGGGATCTAAACAGCAGCATTTCATGAAAACCAGACTTGCCTGCTGCTCTTCAGGACAGAAAGGAGTCCTTGTGAGGGGTATTGGAGCCTGCAGAGGAACCTGGCACAGGCTGGTGGGGCTGGCTGACAGGGCTGTGCTGTTCTTGCAGGGGCACAGGGGGAACAGGCTGGGTGGCAGAAGCTGGGATGTTTCCAGCCTGCCTGTGTGTTCCATCCCCAGCAAGTCCAGGTTCTCAAGAGCAAACTGGCACAGAAGGTCATATTTGCCTAATTAATGATCGTGCAGCTAGGCCAGCACAATGACATTTGGTTATCTTCTCTCTCTGCTGCAAGTGAGCTGAGTGGGAAGCTGCTGCCCAGCTCCTCGGGGACCCTGACACTCTGCCCTCGTTAGAGATAATTAGCTGGGACAAGCTCCTTGTTTGACAGCTCTGCTCATCATTAGGGCCAGCGCAGCTCATGCATTTTAATGCAGCTCCCAGCAAAGCTTCAGCCCCTGGCTCTGTCCTGGCCCCCCTGCACAGCTCTGGAACGTGCCCGGCCTCCTGCCCGGCCTCCCGAGCCCGGCCAGCGCCTGCCTGGATCCTGCCCAGCCCTGCAGGGGTCCCCGGGTGCCTCAGGGCTCCGAGGGAGCTGCTGGAAGTGGCTGAGGGGACAATGAGCAGCTGCTGCTCTGTCCCAGGGCCGGGGGGGTTTGGTTCTGTGGAGCTGAGGCTCTGCTTGGGTGTCCTCCCACGGCTGGAACCACCCAGCCTGGACCCTGACTGCTCTCCAGAGCTGCTCACTGGGCATCTGCAGGATCTGGGAGGGCTTGGTGGGTGACAAGGGGCAGCAGGAGCTTTTGGGGGAGAGCTCCTGTCCTGCTGGGGGTGAGGGTTCTAAGAGGGGCACTGCATGAGCACAGCTGAAACTGCAGGAGGTTCTCTGGGGGAATCTATCGGGATGTGAACCCTGACTTTCTGTCATCCTGCCTCTGCAGGTGACCCTTCCCCTTGCTGTTTTCCTTACACCCCTGTTGGATGTGGCCCAGAGCTGTACTCTCATGGATTACTCTGCTGCCTTGAGGGAAGCTGCAAACTGTGGACTGAGGTGCTGCAGCCTCAGGGGAAGCAGAGTTGGAGCACACAGCACTGCTGGGCACAGCAGCAAACGTCTCTAGGTGGGGAAGGAGCCCCTGTGCAGCATTTGGGGTACTTTGGGCTACAAACCCCCCAGCCAGGTTACCTTGAGGTGGTGGAGGAACAGCCCAGGGCCCAGTGTTAGACCTGTCCTGCTTTTACAGCGCTGGCTGCAGCTGGAGAGTTTGGTGAAGCTCAAGGAATAGTTTTTCCCTGTTTAGGTGGGCTCTGTCTGGAAGATAATGGTTCCTTTGCTGCCCTGCCAGGGGGGATCAGAGGAACTGGTAGTTTGCTGTGACAATGTGATCCCAGAAAGCCACAGATGCCACAAACCCAGGGGTGCAAGTAGGGTGCTGTCAGCTTGAAGATGCAAATCCTGCCCTGGCCGGGGGAAGAGCCTGGCTGCCGAGCACAGCTCAGACCCCAGCACTGCCTCAGGCTTCTCAAAGGTCCCCAGCCTCCTGCTGCTGGCCCAGAGCCAGGCACAGGCACGTGGAGCGTCCAGAGGATCCAACACCAGGCTGGCAGCTGGCAAGGATGTGACAGCCTCCAACACACTGCCAGAGAGCCCTCCCAAGGTCACCTTGGATCTGGCAGTGTTAGACCAGGCTGGGATAGCAGTGCTTGGAAAGGGGAATGGTGAAAAATCATCAAGACAGCAGTGAAAGGATGATGAATGAGAGGCTGGGAGAGGCAGGTGTGCTGTATCAGCCACCAGCACTGGGAACTGAGATGGTCAATCCAGGACTGAGGGATTCCTGTTTAATTCATTCCTCAGGTACCACAAACATGCCACTCTCTTTAATAGTCCCAGCAAGCCACAAATAATGAAACTGCCCCTTGGAACATGAAATTTGGGCCTATGTTCCAGTCGTGGAGGAACAACTGGTAGGGAATCATCCCCAAACCCAACACTGCAAGTAATAAAGCAGAGAAAAAGGTTAACTGGGGAAAGCATCCAAGCAGGAAAGGCCTTGGGTGGGATGGCTGGACTAATCCTGCTCTTTGGGACTTGGTTCTGAATTCTGGTGTTTGCTGGTGTCTTGGAGCAATGTTTGAATTTTGCCTGTCTCACTTGTTATTCCCAGCAAGTCACAGTCACTGATCCAAAAACCAGCTTGAGATTAGGGCTCTGCTTCCCAATGAACATTTTCTTACCTGTTTACCTTCATGAAATAAACAGATTTAACTTGTAAATTCCCAGCAAGCCCCTTTGTATTCAAACAAAAGGGATATTTGGGGAGCAATAGCAAAAGCAGCATATCCTTTCCTGCTGGTCTCATAGGTAAACCTGCCTTTCCCTCCTGGCTTGGGGGCTCTTGGTTTGGAATCTGTTGTTGTGGCTTTTAGGAGTGCTGTGAATCAGCCCAAGCTTGGTGTCAGTACAGACCAAAATGTAGCCTGAAAGTCCCATTTATCCCCAGCCCAGCCCACCATCCCCCATCCTGTGGCATTAACCAAGGAGACATGAGATTTAAAAACTCACTTGGACAATTTTGGCAAACTTTTCAAAGATCACTGCAGTGATTGTTTGCAGATCCACAGGACTCAATTCCTTCCAGACAGCTGGTCTGGGATGCTCAGGCTGTTGTATGTGCTGTGCTCACCGCCACAGCTTTGCTCTCTCCCTGGAATTTGCTCTGGGGATGAGCAAATGGCAGCAAATATCCTGGTGGCTCTGCCCATGAGTGACAAATCATTCTGGATTTTGGGAATCAAGATGGAGCCGAGCTCAATGCAGAGGGGAGGACAGGAGACCATGGGAAAACACTGGTTGGACTTGAGAAAAAACTTCCACAGGAGGGTGGTGCAGTCCTGGGACAGGGTCTGGAGAGGGGGGGTTTTCAGAAGGTCGGGGTGAGGCCCTGAGTGACCCACTGGAGCCTTGCAGCCAGCCCTGCTCAGAGCAGGAGCCTGGGCTGAGACCTCCAGAGGTCCTCCCAAGCTCGCTGTTCTGTGCTGCAGCTTCTGTGCTGCAGCTCCTCCCTGCAAAGCAGCCAGAGAGGAGGGGGTGAGCCGTGGTCTGGGGAAGAGCAGCTCCCAGGTGCTGGCTGGAGGGGAAGGGCAGGAGGGGAAGGAGTCCAGCATCTCTGTTCCCTCCCTCTCCTGTGGCTGTAAGGACAGCCACCCTCTGGCCTGAGCTCCTCCTGCAGCCACCTGCTGTTCCCTCTCTTCTCCCACCCATCCAAGGAACTGTCTCCTGCGCCAAACCATCACCTCCAGGGTAGGTGGCTGCAGGCAGAGGTGGCAGGATGGAGTCATTGGCCACGTGCTGGATCACCCAGAGCCCAGTGAAGTGGAGCAGCAAACACCTGGCTCTGTGTGAGCATCCCTGGGGCTGTCAGCCTCGGGTGCCGGCTGGCTGTGGGTGGCAGAAGGCCCTGGTGGCTCTCCAAGAGTGACCGCTGGCTTTTCCAGCCCTGCTGGTTCCTGACACACTGCTGGTCCTGGCCAGCTGCCCCAGCCCTGGAGGGGATGAGGTGGGACATGGCATGGCAGAGCTGGTGGCCTGATGGTGGCAGGGCCCTGGGGGGACTGTGGGGTGAGACCAGTCTGCAGCCAGGGAGGGGCTGATGGAGCCTGAGTGAGAGGTGGAGAGGGACATGGGGGCTTAGTTGTTACAGTAAGGAGTCATAAGAAAGAAAAAAGATAAAATAAAAACCCTAATGAAATCTACATATGCAAATGAGTTGCCAAAAGCTCCCTGCCGTGTTCCTGCAGCTGTGGGCTGAGCTGGACTGGGGACACTGGACGTGGGGAGATGGACACACAGAACAGGGGCAGGCAGGTGGAGTTCCTGCGTTCCCCTCTCCTGCCACACGCTGTGGGCTCAGGTCGGGCTCCTTGGCTGCAGGAGGAAGAGCTGAGAGGAGTGGCCTTGCCAGCTCCAGACTGGCCACAGAGGCCTTTGCCTGGCTGGACTCTGCTGCTCTGTGCATCCACTGCACACATTTTCCAGGCAGACATTGCCATGGTAACGTGGAAATGGTGCTGGTTCAGGCCAGCCAGAGCACTCAAACACAGAAAATGGCATTTCTGAGATGGGAGCAGGGCTCTGCTCACAGGGCCTCTGGGTACCCAGGGGTGTGGCTGCTCTGACAAGATCCTTGTGCCCTGGTGCCCCCAGGGATGTGTTCCTCAAGCAGAGGTGAAATGAGGTGGAGAGAGCAAACAGCATGGAACATGCTAGGGGGAAGGGGATTTCTCTGGCAGTGCTCCAGGCATGGATGGGGACAGGATTTTTGTGTTTGAGCCTGGTATTTATTCCCATTGAGCCTACTCACACATTCCAAGGCATTTCAATTTCCTTGAAAGCCCTTTAAATTCCTTAATAGACACCTTCTGAATGTGTTGTGAGACTCAGATGGACTTTCCTAGATCAGTCTCACCTGCCCAGCTGGATGTGAGGTGACTCTGCTCCCACAGCCCATAACTGTGCTCATTCTATTCCTTAGGATGCTGTCTCTTGACTTTTGAGGCTAATGAGGGACCTGAGCTTGGTTAAATCCTCCCCCTTAAAGTCATGTATGGAACTGAAAGGTTTCAAGGGGTGGAAAGTCTTTACTCTTAATTTTAAGCTGCCTTAAAGCAGCTTAAGAGCTGCTTCCAGCTCTGGGAATGGAGCCTTGTCATGCTCTGCTCCCAGTGCAGGACTTTGCCACACGTGAGATTTTCTCCTCTTTATCCTCACACACTTTATCCTCTTGGTCTATTGAGCTTCAAGTCTTGCCACAAGGCTTTTCCTCTAGAAGTCATTAGCTGTGGCTTTCTCTTTTCACAGCAGTTCTCTACTACTGTTTTCAAGTGTGGAACCTGTGTTCCAGCACCAAAACTGGAGGGAAATCTCCTTGGATGCAGGCACTAGGCTAGTGGATTTCCACTTGGCCAGGTGGTCCTGGGATGTGCAGAGCTAAAAGTACAAATCACTCATACCCAGACCCACTTGTCCTGCTGAGCTCCCTTCTTTTAATTCTGTGTCACCTTTTATTGTTTGGGGGTTTTTCCCTGTCTTCTGCATGATATGCTGAAGAACAAGGTGAATTAAGGCCTTTGCAGGGCTCTGGGAAAGATACTTTGTTGGAGGAGTTTGTGGAGCCACTCTGCAGTGGGGAGCAAGGCAGTGGCTCCTCTGTGGCAGGAGAGGGTGGAAGACCCTGGCAAGGGAGGTGGCAGTGGGTGTGTGTGGCTGAAGCCGTGATGGCGTGTGGCTAAAAGTGCTGGCTCAGAGCCGGGGGTTTCCATGGGAACCGCTGGAGGATGCTCGGAGGGCAGCGCGCAGGTGGGAGCTCCCCTGGCTGGGGCCCTGCAGGTACCCGGGAGGTACCGACTCGTCCTCAGAGCCAAGGGAGCGATTCCCCCCGAGCCAAACCCCAGAGCACTTCACAGAGACGCTGCCTTTGACAGACAGAGAGAGCACGAGCAGCAGAACAGCCCCAGGCAGGAGCAGAGCACGGCAGGAGCCGGATCAGTCCCCGAGCTGTGCCGAGAGTCCCATCCCCGAGTCCCAAACCTGCCCCCGTGCCCAGCAGAGCTCGGAGCAGCCAGCTCCCAGCCCAGGGCACAGCTGGGGCTGGGACACCGTCCTTAGTGTGGCTGCATGGTGTGCACTCACTGCACTGGGGGATGCAGTGCCCACTGCATCGGGGCTGGAATGTTTGAGCTGAGCCTTCCTGGCCATCCTGAACCGGCTGCTGCTGAGCGTGGATGGGGAGAGCCCACCCTTGGTGCCTCCCTTTGCTTGCCCTGGCCCCAGGTGGGCTCTTTGCCCAGCACTGGGAGCAGCAGTGTCTGCAGCAGCTGCTCCAGGCACCAGCCAGCCCCTTCTCCTCCCCTCTCTGGAAGTCTTTGGTGACCACATTGTGACCAGCCCTTTGCACACCCATGGGAGCTTTATTGTGGGCATCATTCATTGCTGCTGCTCCCAGGGGACAGCCTTCCCTTTACAATCACCCTAGTTTCTCAGGTGGAGGGTATTTACTCTGGTGGCCACAAATCCCATTTCCAGGAGTGTTTCTGCCAACACTCGTACAACAACTCATACTACAACAACTCGTACTGCTATTGGGGTCAGTGACTTTCCCTTTCCAGGCCCTCCCTGTGAAATGTGAAAAGTAAATTTATTATCACATCTGCCAGGCTCCAGACAACTCTTTCTGGCAGTGGGTAGGTAGGATCTGTCTGGGGATCAGCTGGTTCACCCCCAGCTCCTTCAGGAGCTCTGGACACACCTGCTGCTCCATGGCTCCTTTCTGCTCTCTTCTCAGCTGGGTTTGCGTTGACATCTGTGGTCACCTTTGTCTCCTCTCTACTCCCCAGGGTGGGAACCCCACAGTTCTCCCAACACAATAATGAGCTTGGGCAGTCTCCTGGTGCTCCTCCTGCAGCTGCCCTGAAGGACTCTCTGGATTGCTTTGAGAAGGAAATGAGAAGATGATGACCTTGGCTTCCTTTCCCTCAAACCCAGTCGTTCATCTCATGCCTTGCTGTCCATTTTTTCCAGATCTCTTCAGCTTTAGATTCTCCCTAAGACCCCTTTTTTCCTCATTTTCCTGGAACTGCTGTTTGGTGCCAGTAATGACCCAAGGGATCAGAAGCACATTGAAGGTCCAGTGTTCCAGCAGGGCTGGGCTGGGCTGTTTGCTGCTCTCTTGCTGCCACATCCATCCCTGGACCACGAGGATGGAGCCAGGACCACGTTCCCACCTGCAGGACCTACTCAGCCATGAACGTGTCCACATCACAGGACTGATGTCCATCCCTGAGCTCTGTCCATCATCGTTAACACCCTCCAGACGAGTGGGAGGCTCTGGGCCTGGCTCGGAGCAGCTCAGCAGGAAGGTAGGAAACATCCTGGGTTCCAGAGGTACCACTTCCCCATTCCAGCCAGCACCACGAAGCCAGGAGAAGGGATGGCTGATCCAGGCAGTGCCAGTTCCCTGGTAGAAAACCCCAGTGCTGTGAACAGGAATCACAAATGGCAGCAGTGGGGAAGGAGGGAAGAGGTCATGGAGCACGGTTTGGCCCCATCCTGGCTCCTGGGATGAACCAGTGTGGAATCCCCATGGGAAACAGAAGAAATGGCTGGTAGGGCATCGTGCGTCTGCAGCCAGAGCCGCTCCTGGAGGACGAGGATGACGAGGGTTGACGGCGATGAGCCGTGATGGCGCGGGAAAGCTTTGGCATTGTGCAGCGGGAGCGATGGGAAAGGCTGGCCAAGGGAGGCACCGCTTTCTGCAACAGCCTTCAAAGAGTTTCCTTAAGTGTTGCTGCTCTTCAGGGCTTCCTCCTCCAAGGAAAAAAAAAAAAGTAGGGAAAAAAGGAGATGAGGAAGAGCAATCTCTGGGTGCGGGATGAAAGCGGCCTGTCTTGACTATTTACCCAGCAATTATAAGTAAATCGGTGGTGCCTAACGGGGCCGGTTGCCATAGTGACGATGGGATGGAAGGACCAGCATTTGGTCCTGGCTGCAGCCAATCAGGCTGGGAAGCCCAAGCTGCAATATAAAGTAAAGATTCCCATCTTCCAGCCACGCACTTGCCAAGAAAGGGAAATAGGTTCAAGAGTCTGGGGAAAAAAAGTGCTGCGGCCGGCAGCGAGCAGGGCGGCTGCTCCCGTCATGGCGGACTGCGAATGCCCGGGCAGGTGAGAATCCCAACTCTCCCCATCTCCCGCTTATTGTTCTCCGCGCCGCGGTCCCTC